CCCAGCCCGGTGGGATTCCACGCCCTGGCAGATGGAGACCCCCGCGGAGTCTGCGAAGATAAGAAGGAAGAGGAAGCCCCCGATGCTGAGGATTATGGTTCTCAAGAGGGGTGGGGCTGGGGGGCTCTGGGCCGAGACCCCCTCCCACCTCCCGGTCTGTCCTCTCCGGTCTGGACCCGGGTGACCCTATCCCTCCGAGGCCACCTTCCAGGGCTGGGAGTGCAGCGCCTGCCCCGAGTCCTCTGGAGGGGAGGGAGGTCCGGCCCCGCGGTGACCCTGCCGGCCCACAGGCCCCGTGTCCAGCATCCTCGTGACGCGCTTTGGCTGTCGCCCGGTGATGCTGGCGGGCGGGCTGCTGGCCGCGGCGGGCATGATCCTGGCATCCTTTGCCAGGCGCCTGCTGGAGCTGTACCTGACTGCCGGGGTCCTCACAGGTGAGGGCGCCGCCGGGTCCCCCGCGGGGTGGGGCGGGGCGCGGGGCGGGGTCCTTGCCCCAGTCCTGCTGTCCCCAGTTCCCCCCAAGGGGCGGGCCTCCAAGTCCCCGCCTCAGCTTCCGGGGTCTGCCTGCCCTCGGGCACCCCGCACAGCGCAGCCTCCCCCGCAGGCCTGGGTCTGGCCCTCAACTTCCAGCCGTCGCTCATCATGCTGGGGCTGTACTTTGAGCGGCGGCGGCCGCTGGCCAACGGGCTGGCGGCGGCAGGCAGCCCCGTGTTCCTGTGCGCGCTGTCGCCGCTCGGCCAGGTGCTGCTGGAGCGCTTCGGCTGGCGCGGCGGCTTCCTGCTCTTCGGCGGCCTCCTGCTGCACTGCTGCGCGTGCGGGGCCGTCATGCGGCCGTCGCCCCCCGGCCCAGGCCCCAGGCCGCGCGCGGACTGCGCCGAAGACACCTCGGGGGACGCGCCCGGAGCCGTGGAGGCAGACGGCGCGCGGCGGAACCTGCACGAGACGCCCCCTAGCGGCCGGGCCCGCCGGCGCCTGCTGGAAGTGGCCGTGTGCACCGACCGTGCCTTCATCGTGTACGTAGTCACCAAGTTCTTGATGGCGCTTGGGCTCTTTGTACCCGCCATCCTGCTGGTGAACTACGCCAAGGACGCAGGCGTACCTGACGCCGACGCCGCCTTCCTGCTGTCCATCGTGGGCTTCGTCGACATCGTGGCGCGGCCGGCGTGCGGAGCCCTGGCGGGCCTGCCGCGCCTGCGACCGCACGTCCCCTACCTCTTCAGCCTGGCTCTGCTGGCCAACGGGCTCACAGACCTGGGCAGCGCGCGCGCGCGCTCCTACGGTGCCCTGGTCGCCTTCTGCGTGGTCTTCGGCCTCTCTTACGGCACGGTGGGTGCGCTGCAGTTCGAGGTGCTCATGGCGGCCGTGGGTGCGCCCCGCTTCCCCAGTGCTCTGGGCCTGGTGCTGCTCGTGGAGGCCGTGGCCGTGCTCATCGGACCGCCCTCTGCCGGTGCGCCCCGCAGGAGTAGGGGGTGACAAGGCCCAGGGCCCTCAGTGCCAGGTGGGGCTTACAGGGATGCAGGGGAAGGGACCGTGGCAGAGACAGCCCTTCATCGCCAGTTAGCCTCCCCCGAAAGCAGGGACCTCCAGCCCAGGGGAAACGGCAGGAACAAACCAACACTGGTAGCAGCTGCTCAGCTATCTCAAGCAGACCACACAAAAGCTTTGTGAAATGCAGCTGCTTAATTCCCATTTGGAGATGGGGAAACTGAGGCACTGCGGCTGAGAATGACTTGCACTCTCAGAGCCGAAACCTCAGTTCAAAATGCCAATAGGCTCTACCTTGAAACAGTGTATCGGATGCTTTAGGGGAACCAGACAGGGTGGGGCTGCTGAGTGTGCATCTGAGGAGAAGGTGCAGGCAGCCTGCTGGGCACTCGTTATTCGCAGTCTACCGTGGAGAATCGCCATCATGGGGGTGGCCAGCGAGGTGTCCTGGCCGAACCCCCAGGGGAGGGCACAGCATGAACAGACATGGGGTTTGCTTGGGGGACAGTGTCCCTGCACACGTGAGGCAGGAGCTAGGACTGGAGAAGAGGAGGGGATCCTGGGTCTTGCTGCCCTTAAGAGGGATATGTCAGTCTGTGGATGGGACAGTGACACCCAGTGAGAGCAGCCCCGAAGCTGCCACCCAGAACCCCGAAGCTGCCACCTGAGGCTCAAAGCTTATCTGCCTTCTTTGTGGCCTGGGTGGATTCAGTGGGCACAGAAGGCAATGAGGGCTGAGAAGGTGACGGACGCTAGAGAGCTGAAGGAGGGAGGGACAAGGACAGGTCGGGCTGGCTGAGCAGGGACCAGGATGTTAGGGGAAATGCTGTGCAGAGGGGCTTGGGTGTGGCAGCTGGTCCAGTGAACATCAGAGAACTTTCGAAACCTCAGGGCCTGGTGTGGTCACCACAAGAATACCCCAAGGGAGGGGGAGCCCACAGAGAGACCATTACTGTAGGGGAAAATATTTGGAGTTAAAAGATTTTCCAGCAAACGTGATGGCCCATGCCTGTAATCCCAGCACTTGGGAGGCTGAAGCAGGAGGATCACTGAGAGTTCAAGGCCAGCCTGGACTTCGAGGCCAGCCTGAAGTATATAGTGAGACCCTATCTAAAAAAAATTTTTTTTTCCTAGGGGCCATAGCTCAGTAGTGGGGTCTGGGCTCAGCATGCTGGAGACCCTGAGTTCCATCACTAACATGCGCACACATACACACACATGCACACATACGTGCATGCATACACAAGATCAAAGAGTAACGTGCATGCAGAAGGAAACAGGGCCTATTCAGCAGGGCATAATTGAGTCTAGGGGGATTGTGGGCCACTGGAGTGACAGAGGCCAAGTTCCTGGGGACCAGAGACGATGGAAAGAGCAACAGCCAAGAGTCCCAGAAGATTCAGTGCAGGGCCCTCCCCACTGCCCCCACATGGCTGCAGCTGAGGACATCCCAGGATAGCCGGGGTGAAGGGGGTGCCCTGTATACTGTAAAGTGCTGTCTCATCAGAAGTCCCTTATTGCTTAGAAAATTGAGATTCAGGGAGGGGAAGTGACATTTTAAAATTCTCAAATGGCAGAACTCATGATGCTTTGCCTCTATGAAATAAAGACAAAGGGTGGCGGCAGGGTGGGGGAGGGGCATGTGTGTCGCTCAGAGTCCCCCACCAAATTGGCAGCCCTGCTAAACCTTTACTGAGGGTGAGGGGCTGAAGGGGGGACCCCAGCAGGCTCTGACCTCCCACTTCCCCCAGGCCACCTGGTGGATGCCCTGAAGAACTACGAGATCATCTTCTACCTGGCTGGCTCAGAGGTGGCCCTGGCTGGGGTCTTCATGGCCATGGCCACCTGTTGCCTGCGTCATCAGTCTCACTCCCTGGAGGCTTCGGCTGGTGCAGCCACTGGGGGAGCAGCCAGTGACACTGAAGACTCTGAGGAGCGGGGAAGTCTGCAGGCCCTGGAAATGCTGACCCCCAAGGCCGGGGCTGGGGAACTGAAGGTGGATGTAGAATCAGGTCCAGGCCAGGAGTCTGTGTAGCACATTTCAAGGGGGTGGCCCAAGGGCTCTGGAATGTGACTTCATCTTCCCAAAGGGCTTGGCACACTGGGAAGTAGGGCCGGTTGGTCGTTCCCTGGGCAAGTCTGGGCTGCAGTTATCCCTTGGGCGTCATGGGAATGCCCCTCCCATTTGCCAGGCCCTCTCCTCTTGCTGGTGAAACAGCTGTGGTCTCACAGGAAATCGAGTCGATAAAGCTCAGATGAAAGACAAGCTCTGTTCCTGTGCCTCTGCCCAGGACTCTGGCTACGCCCCTGAGCTGGGGTGGGGGGAAGGTCTGAGGGGTCTCCCCGGGGCCTCCCTGGAGTTGGGCGAGTGTCAATGACGGATGCAAGGCAGGAGGTGCTCCTGGGGCTGGGAGTTGAGCTGTGTGCTGAGCCTCCTGATTGTCACCTGCATTTCTCATGGAGACAAAGGCATTGGCAGCACCTTCCAGTGAACCAACAGAGGCCAAGCAGCTGTGACAAAGCCCAGGGCCCAGGGCCAGGCTGGGCAGCGAAGCCCATTCAGTGGCCCACACCAGGCCTGGCCCTGCTGATGTCATCTGGTGTACACACTCACCATGCCAAGGGGCACCTTTCCCTCTGGAGGATGAACTTGGGGGTCCCAGGGTCCTGTGGTTCGCTCTGGACACTGCTCTTGAGTATGGCACTGTGGGCAGCCTGGTCACCTGCTGACTCTGGCATTTGCATGGCCCCCCATAGAGTCCTAGTCTCCCCCAACCCCAGAAGCTGGGGATGGAATCCAGGTCAGGCAGACGCTCTGCCACCGGGCTGTACCCTAGTCCTGGCACCGCCTCGCCTGCACTGTGACCCAGGTTTGAGGACCTCCCAGTCTCACTCCTGGCTCCTTTCGGTCAGGGCCTCTGAGAACCCATCCCAGCGACCCCTCCTCAGGCTCCCAGTTGGGTTTCATTTTCCCAGCAGGGGCATGGGAGAGGGGCTGCCAGCCGAAGGTCTAGGGAACCCTGCAGCTTGGCTAACATATTTATCTGTGGTCCCCCAGGCCACCAGAGTAGTGGCTGTCTTCCTTTTGACACTTCAGGAGACTCAATCTGGCCCAGCACGATTTTAAGCCCTTGCTTCTCCTACTAGCCAGACTAGGCAAATGCCATGGCTACCTGTGCTTCACAGAGAGGGAAATGAAGGTCATGACTGGAACCCAGGCTTTGGGTTCTGGGCTGTCCTCCCAGAGGTGGTGTGGCCAGCTCTGTGGGGACCCGGTGGGATCCTGTTGACAGCCTGTCCCTCCCCTCCTGCCCAGAACCTGCACCCTGCACACTGAGAAGAAACCTGTTTCCATTCTGCACTCTGCCCACCTGGCAACCCGTCTTCCTCCCATTCACAGGATGGCCACATCCACTGTCCCAACAGGGACACTCCAGAGGGAAAGGGCCACTGCTACTGGTTACACTGGGTCTGTAGGTGTGGGTGGAGCTGGCCAGTGAAGCAGACTTGTGACCACCCCATTCTGCCACTGTACAGAGACACCACTAGGGTGGCCCCACACAGGCCTGGGTGCACCAGGGACACATGAGGTCAACCATGTCTCTCCAACCTGGGTCTCGGGAGCCCTGACCCAGTGTCCGTCCTGCCCTTCCCCAAATGAAGGCTCAAAGGCGAGGGGGGCACGAGAGGGTCCAGGAAGCAGGAGGTGGTGGTGGTAGGTGGCAGAGGCAGGGTCTGGGACCTGGCAGATAGGAATTCAGATCCCACCCTGTCCACCAGGGTGAGGCCTCGAGCAAGATGCTTCTCTGAGCCCCGTGTCCTGGACTGGTGGGGACAACAGCACTAACTGCTGTGAGGAGTGAGTCTTATATAAAGTGTCCCGCCCGCCCTCGTGACACTGCAGAGGATCTGAGCCACTGCACAGCCCGGCTTGTCTGGGTTTGTTTATTCAGTACAGGCCCCGAGCCCAGCCCTTCTTCAGAAGTGGTGGAGCTGGGGGGGACAAAATAAATAATGGCTCCCAAGGTGCATGTGGCCTTGGTGGGGCTGCTGTGCAAGGTGGGAGACGTAGGCCCCAGCCTCTCGTCCACCCGGGCTTCACTGGGGCAGGCGAGGGTCTCACGGGGGTGCCCACAGGACCGGCCCTGGACTTCTGCCACCTCCCGCCCTCTCCTCCTAGGGCAGGTCCGGAGGCCACGCTCTCCCAGGGGTGGTGCTGTCCAGCAGGAGCCCAGCAGGCCCTTCTGAGCCCAACTCCCCAGGTCTGGCCCGGGGGTGGGGCGCTCAGGAGTCACACCAGCTTCCGCCCTTGTCCAGGGGCCCGGTGACCCCGCGCGTGTCCCGGGGCGGCTCTTTGGCCGCTGCGTCTTCCTCCTCCTCCTCCTCGTCCTCCCCGTCAGTGAACTCGCCTTGGCTGGGGCCGTAGGCCAGTGTGGTGTGGGCCAGGTCAACCTCGATAGGGAAGACATCGGCGTTGCGCAGCACTGCGTAACAGTCGTTGTAGTACTTAGACATGGTGGACACGAAGCGCTGCAGCTGGAACACTATGTCCTGGACTGCGGCAGGGGGCGAGCGACAGGCCCGGTTAGCTGCGGAGGCCCGCCGGGGGCCTCCCTCCCCCCACCTGGCTCCTCCCAGAGAACCAGGCCCCGCCCCCCCTGCTGCTCGCAGAGGCGGGCGGGATCCGGGACCCAGCCGGGGATCCTCAGGTCGGACGTAACCTTGTTGGGCCTCAGGTCGGACGTAACCTCGTTGGGCCTCACTTTTCCCACCTGTGAAACGATGTGCTGGGCCCACCCAGTTCCGAGGCTGGCGGTGCCCCGGCCTAGGCCTACCGTGCTTCTGGTCCAGCAGCTCCACCTTCTCCAGCACGTCCTTGCGCATCTGCGAGAAGCGCGCGCGCGCCTCCTGGCGGCAGCGCAGGATCAGGCGGTATTCGTAGTTGCCGGTGCTCACGCGGTACAGTGGCTCGCCCAGGGCCTGCGGTGGCGGTGGGGGCCCATCAGGGACCAGGGACAAGGGGCGAAGGGGGTCTGCTTGGGGTCTGAAAGGGTGGGTGGGAAGGCTGCAGGGCCCACACACCGCTCATACCAGCCTCCTACACCTCTCAGAGCCACCGTGATCCCTTGATTCTCAGTTGCCAGTGGCTGCTGGGAGCACCTGGCAATAGCTTTGGAAAGAGAAAAGCTAACAAAAACCTCAACCCTTGTCATGTTGAATAAAGGAACTCTGGTCAAAAGATGGACCCTGATAGCAAAAATATTACAGATTTTAAAAATTAAAGGGCAACTAGGAATGAAGTTGGTCAGTTTTTCCTTGCAGGAGTCACAGTAGGGGTGGCCAGCCTAGAAGAACTGGGGTAGGGTAGGGTGGACCCAAATTCTGGCAACGAGAATCCAGGCCAAGCCCCCTAGGTCTCTCCTGGGTTGGCCTGACCCAGCTGATATCTCTGGCAGGCCCAAAGCATTCTGGGGGCTCTGTGAAGCAGGTGAGGGAAGGTACGTGGGCCCCAAGACTTTCTGATGCCAAGGCTGGGCCCCCTCACCCCTCGACACTCACAATGCAGCTGTACTCCTCATCGTCCATCTCCTTCACCTTCAGGCAGTAGGACTGCATGGGACAAAGAGGCCAGGCAGTCAGAGCCCACCCTGCTGTCCCCATATCGCTCAAGCCACACTGTACCCCCAGACCACCCCAGGAAGCTGTCCACACACAGACACGAGCAGCCATCTCAGGCCCCTGGCTCCTGCAGACGCCCAGCTAGGGTGAGCTGAGACTCCAGGAAGGCTGCAGCAGGTGGGCAGGGAGTCGGGAGAGGTGGCAGGTGGACCGGCCTGAGGGTGTGTACAGCCCAGCGGTGACCAAATTCAAGTCCTAAGAGATGCCCTGGGGTGTGGCTCAGAGTGCAGCACCCGCCTAGCATGCTCTAGACCTGGGGTTCCACATCCCCGGGGAACAAAGGTGCACAGTGAAAACAGCCAGGAAGCCCCATGTGTGGACTTGCTGCACATGGGGCATTTTCTCCCCTCCTTTGCCCACAGAATTCTTATCTAAAACTCATAATTTCCTGTGGCACCCACTTTGAACAACCTAGACCTGGTCCAATCCACTGTTGAGGGTGACAGAAACCCTCAGGGGGTCAGGCTGATGCCAGGAGAGAGCTCTGGCTGCCTTGGCTGGGCTGCCCCCAAGTCTCCAGCCAGGCCCCGGGTTCCACAAAGCCCTTGGCCCTGGGCCGCCCTGCTCTCCCCAGAGCGGCTGCTCATCCAGGACAAGGCCCCAGGGTGGCTCCCAAGCGCGCAGCCGCCTGCAGCACTCACCAGGTACTCGAACTTCACATCCAGGTACTTCTTGATGGTGAGCCTCGTGTCGGGGATGGCTTTGTTGAGGTATGTGTTCAGGTCTGTCAGCATCTGAGGGGTCAGGCAGGGGTGGCCGTGTGACAAGGAATGGCACTAAGGTGTTATCCCCTCCAGTGGACTCAGGCTGCCAGGGCCAATGCCATTTCAAGGTTAAAAGCTTGGTCTAGGCGAAGTGGCAGAACAGGGCTAAAAGCAGCCTCATGGTCAATGCCAAGCCCTGAGGGGGCACCATGGCTTACAGGCAGCCAGCCATGTAGGTGACCAAGCCAGAACTCTGGTATAGGACCCTCTTCGTGCCATGCTGTCCGCTCCCTGCCATCAGGAGCTGGACACACACGTGCTCACCAGGACCTACCGGCTTGATGGTTTTCAGCAGCCGGATGCCAAACTTCTCAATGCTTCGATGTGCGTCAGCAAACTTCACAAAAGCCTCACTTGCTGCTGGCTGGGGCTCCCGCACCCCAATCACAGAGAACACGTCCCCAAAGGCTGCAGGACAAGTTTGCCTTGAAGGCGGCCCCTATTTGACCCCCTAATGGAGAAGCCAGGGGTTTGTTGGGAAAAAGTAGGCAAGGCCTGGCAAGGTGAAAGATAAGGTCTGTGTGGGGTCTACACCCCTGGGCAGCTGGCCTTCATTCTCCCAGAGTGCATGGACCTCGGGGGAAGGCTGAGTGCAGACTGAGGTGGTGCTGTCTGAGGGCAGAGCCCTGGTCTGGAAATCAACACCAGCGCCACCCCTGTGGGCCCTGTGACCACTTCCTGTCTGTGTTTCCTCTATCTACCAGAAAGAGGCTAACTGGCCACCCTGCCCAGCCATGGCTTCTGCAGGAGATGAGACCACACATGAGGAAGGGCCTTGTACACAGTGAGTGGCAGTGAGAGAAGGGGCAGGGTCCTCGAAGGCCAGCCAGTCCGGATGCTCACTGGCCTGTCACTGCTCTGTCCCGCCATCTTGGCCATGCCCTGCCCGTGCTGGCTGGAGGTCAGAGCTGTGGGTGGGAGAAGGGCCCCAGGGAAGAACCTGGCCACACTGTATGGGGGCTACTGAGCCCAGAGGGGCAGGGATTTGCCCAGGGCCAAACAGCAGGACCATTACCCCGGTGGGTCTGTGATAGCTCATAAAAGGCCCGGAGGAGGTTCTTGGTGTGTTCTGTCATCCCTGTGGGAGAGATCCGAGTGACAGAGGATGGGGGTACATGTCAGGGACAAGACCAGCCCATGGTCCAGTCCCCAGCCCAGCCAAGGCCCTAGCCCAGCCAAGGCCCTCCTTGGGTGTTGAGTCCACTGTTCCTCTGTCCTTTCCCACAGCCCCACCAGGGCCTGGAGGGGAAGACTCAGCCCAGGGCTAGCTCAAGGACCATCAGATGGGGACCCAGGACTCTATGATGTGGGCAGAGGTCTTCCAGGGGCTTAATCTCTAGGATGGTGGGGTTCACTGGTCCGAAACTTTCTAGGCTGAACTCCCTGCCCCCACTGCCAGTCTCTGCAGCAGGGCTCCCCAGGGCAGCCCCCCACCCTATACTTCCTGGCCCAGGGCCCCACCCACCTTTGTATAGCTCCGCTGTCCGCTCCAGCTCCTCCAGCCTCTTCACCAGCCCATCTGTGGGGACCGAAAGCAGGTGAGGCCACCAGGCTCAGTGAGCTGGGCCAGCAGAGGGGCCCAGGGGAGGGATCTGGGGCAGGGGTGGCCCCTGGAGGACTGGGCCTAGGCAGGGGCATGGCCTCTGAGGGTCAGCTGGGTTGGGGACATTTGTCATCAGCCCGGCATACCCTAAGTTGTTCCGCAGATGCACCCCATCTGCCACTACCTGGGGCAAATCTGGGGCCAGAGGGCCTTCCAGGGTCCTTTGTACACAAGGGCTGGGCCCTCCCCTGGCCAAAGCTGGGGGTGCTTCCCACGGGGTAGAAGGCAGGCCCCTGGCTGGCAGCGAAGGCTCCCTGCACTTCTAAAATGGCTCTCTCACGCCAGGGAGGATGCAGTCAGAGGAGACATACACAGGGACCAGGCGGGCTGATGCACACCGAAGCTCAGCAGGGGGTAGGATGAGGGGAGGGCTTGGTGACCACAGCCTTTGGCTGCATTTGAGCATCTACTGTGGCAGCCACAGCGTTAGGCCCAGGGAATGGCCATGGAGGACAGTTCCAGTCCTGCCCGTAAGCTCCAGGTCTCGCAGGGTGCCAGACCGGTGGCCAGGCACGACCAGAGCATGGGGCGGGGAGGGGCACTGCCTCACCCCAAGCCCTCAAAATGAGAGGAAGCTGGCTGTGGGATAGGGGTGCTGGGGCGGCGTGAGATCAGAGAAGGGCCAGCACCGTGAGGAGTGGGGACACCTAGGGCTCTTCCTTGGGGCTCCCACTGATTCCCGATCTCCGAGTGGGGAGGATGAGGACAAGGGTATGTTGATGGCTTCTTTACCCAGCCACGCTCTTGGCAGGGCCTGGTCTTTTAGCAGCAGCAGCCACTTCCTGGGTCCTGGTACCCATGAGCCAGGACAGCTGCAGGCTTTCTGGACAGCCCTAGGGCTTTCCTCAGTCTGTGTTTTTGGGGCACCTCGTTTGTTCAGCTGAGATTTTTGCTAAGGTCTCCCTACGTAGTTCAGGCTGGCCTTGAACTTATCTGTAGCCCAGGCTGGCCTGCACTTGCAGTCCTCCAGCCTCAGCCTCCCAAGAGCTGGGATTATAAGCATGCTCTACCATGCCTGGCTTACTTCCCTTGTTTCCGAGAACACTGGGGGCCAGAAAGGCAGAGCACCTTGCCCAAAGCTGCCCAGGCAGGGACTGTGAGATGCTGCTCTCTCTCCAGTCTCTGGTGTTGACCTGGGTCAGGGTCTCTGGAGCGGAGGGCTATGGTGTGGGCTGAGCCCAGGCCCTTCTCAGGTAGGGAGTGTGACTGGGGATGGGCTTTGAGGCTGGCCGGGGTGCCTAGGAGGACTTCGGGAGGGGGAGGCTGCAGCCACCGGGCAGCCTCCAGGCCCTGGCTCCCGTGAGTGGAGCAGAGCACGCGGCCCGCCCGCAGGAAAGGAGCCACGTAAGGGCGCGCTGTTGTTTTAGCTGGGTCATGGGACATCATGGCAGCTTCCATTTTAGAAACCCTATTTATGGCTGGGGAAATTGCAAGGTTTAGGGGGAAAAACACAACAACCAGTTCTAATTTCATCCCAATGCATGGTAACTACAGTAACAGGATTCAAGGCACCAAGCTGCCAAAAATAGCAGCCGCCACTTTTGTACCCTATTTGGAACCAGCTCAGACCCCGCCTCTACTCCCCAGCCAATGGAGCCCCACTCACCCAGCTGAGCATGCGATTTAGGTAGGTATTTATATCTTCCCACACGTACAGGGCACAGCGGGGCTATTTATATGTGGGCTGGCAGGGCAGGCACAGGAGCGTGTGTCTCACTGGCCTCCCTGGGGAGAGAACATGCACACGCGCGTGTGCTGAGCGTGTGTAAATGCACTGGCGCACATGGCTTCTTCCCCAGCCTGGCAGCCACTTCCAGAACCCAGGGCAGGAACCTGAGACGGGGCAGCAGCACCTCCTGGACAAGAGCGGCCAAGATGGACAGTGGGGGAGACAGCAGTCTCTGGCTGCCCCTGCTCTGTGCCCCGGCCTGGGGAGCTGAGAAGAGCTCCTGCCCAGTCTGGCCCAGCTGACAGAGGTGGGAGTTCTCTGAGAGACAGACAGGCATCCAGGGAGGTGACTTGTTGGCTCCCCAGGCAGAGGCAAAGCCGGGGCAGCAGGACCCACAGCAGCCTGGTGGGCAGCGTAGTGCACAGCCTCCAGGGCCGGGACTCACCATTGCACAGGATGGCCCGGCTCAGGCCCAGGGCGTCGGCCGTCCCCGAGCTCATGTTCTCCACCAGCCGGTGCTTGACCTTCTTTAACACTGTGGCCAGGGGAGAAAGGACCTGGTGAGGCCCAGGAGGGCCCCGTGGCCACCCCTACCCTTGGCCCCACCACAACTGGCTGCAAGGGCCAGCAGGGGGCAGAACTCGGGATTGGTGCTGGGAGAGTCTTTGCAGTAGGGAGGCTCAGTGGACAGGGTCTGGGCCCCCTGTCCCACCCCTCCCTCTTCAGGGATAGCAGGCTGCGAAGAGTAAGTGTGAGAAGTTTAGCCCGGGGTCTGGGCAGGACGGCAGTGATCGGGACCACTGGGAGCAATCCCCAGGCCCAACAATGGCGGACAGGCCAGCAGGAAGAGCCTTTCCTCCACTTCCCATCAGGGCCTGGGGGCCCCTATTGGGCTTGGCAGCCTTCAGCTTCGATCTGTAATGCCAGAGGGTGATCAAGGGAACCTCAGAGCTACTTTCCTACTCTTAGGCTTACAGCAAGCACAGAACCAAGGCCTGGTCCGTCTAGCAGGAGGCAGCTTGTCCCAGAGCATGCCAGGAGCAGGAAGCTGGCCTGTGATCCTCTGCCCAAGGACTAAGGTCTAGTTTGGACTTTGTGTCTTCCCAGGAGTAGAAGGCAGATGAGGCCAGGGAGAGGGTGTGTAGTGGGCACCAGGCACAGGCCAGAGCCCGCTGCCTCCTTTCCTGGGCCAGGTTACCCTGGAGCTGGCCTACAAAGGACAGCTCTGGGACACAGCAAGGTCCCAAAGGCAGCTGCAGGGAGAACACCTCAGGTCCTCCCAGGCCTTTCTGATTGGCTTGGTCAGAAAAAAGTCAGAGCCCTCAGCCACAAAACAATCAAAGCCACTGTCATAAGGGAGGCACAGGGGTGGGCTCTCTTGCTTCAGGCTGGGGGTTTGAAGGCCCATGGGACACCACTGCTGTGCCCAGCTTACCAATGTCGAGGGACATGCCCTGCTTGGGGTCCGCCTGAAGCTTGTTGTAGTGGATGGTCACCTCCCCCTGCAAGAGCAGTACAGGCAGAGTCGTGAAGGTCTCCTGAATCCCAGGCCCCTCGGTGGTGGGCAATTCTCTGTGCCCAGTGTGGGGACACCAAGAAGGGGTAGGGACAGCCTGTCCAGCAGGGGAGGCCAAGTCAATCAGGGAGTCGCACAGATGCGCTCTGGTGACAGCTCAGGAGCAGGGGCTGGGGCTCCTCTGAGGAGCCTTCCCTGACTCAATGGTGGGAGGCCACCATGGTGACTCTCATCCTTGCAATCTAAATGCCCCTGATCTTGGGACTGAGTCTGTCCAAATAGGAAACACGATTTAAAGACTGTGGCCCAGGATTTAGCTCAGTGGTTCCACCACCTGTCTCACAAGTGCAAGGTCCTGAGTTCAATTCCCAATACCAAAAAAAAAAAAGACTGAGCCCTGAAGGCGATGCGCAATGAGCAGCCAGAGCCTGGGGTGGGATGTGAGCTGCTCCCCTGGGGCAGGACAGGGGCACCAGGCAGGAGGGGAAGAGCACTGAGTGGCAGTCCGCCCAGGCTCCAGGTCAGCTGCATGACCTCAGGTGGGTCACTTCCTTCTTGTACACCACTAACATGAGGGGGCAGCAACCCTGCCCAGCACCTACACTTGGGAGCTAGGGAAATCGTGTGCTCAGGTCTGGCTGTGCACAGACATGCACAGGTCTTGTCTGCAGGGTGATGTGAGGTGGATGTGCAGACTCAGAGGGATCTGGTGAGTGAGAGGGTGGAGGAAGGGGCTGCCGGAGAGGGAGCACACACGACCTGGCTCTGCACCAGGATGGAACGCCCTTCACCTGTTCCCATGTGCCCGGTGGGCAATGCCCAGGATGATGGTACCCATATGGTGTGGAGCAGCATCTGGGGCTCAGTGAACCCTGTCACCTCTGAGATGTGGCACAGGGGAAGAGGTACAGGATTTGGACCCTCTCCTTAAAAAGGGGATGAGCACAGAGACTCTGAAGGGGGACGGGGGGAGGGGGAAGCCAGAGAAGCAGCTGCCTGGGTGAAGCCAGGAAGGAGGGAAGCTGGGAACAGGACCATGGCATAGGCTGGGCAAGGCGTGGCTGGCATGGCTAGGGCTCCATCTCCGATGGCTCAGAGCCCTGACTCTGGGCCTTGTAAATCAACTTATGGCTTTACACCTTGATCACAGTACTGCTCTCCCAAGAGTTCTTAGTAGCCACAGCTCTAGGAAGAGCTGTTCGCTCGCTTCCGGGTGGCCAGGCAGCTGTCTGCCATGCAGGGAAGGAAGACCCTGTGGAGAGGCCTGGAGCAGCTGGATGAGAGGGGAGCAGGGGCGGGTGGCATGGGCCGTGGGCTGCAGAACAGAAGCCCAGCTGGACAGGGAGCTGCCCAGATCCTGGGTCCCAGGGGACCTGCTGGACTGGAAGCTCCCACAGGGATGAGGAAGGGTCCTCCACTTACCTCTCCCCAGGCCCGGCATGGCCAGCTGATGTTATTAGCGCCTACAGAGCCAGGGAGGTCCACCTCAGCCCTGATCAGGGACACCCTGGCTTTTCCGCCTGCGCTAGCTCCCCATGACCCCCTGGGTCCTGTTGTTCTCTTGCCTGGCCCTGTGGAAGTCCTGGGGCACCATTTATGTACTGAGTGAACGAGTAGGAACCGAGGGAGCCCGGAGCACACCTGCACTGCTGTCCCACAGAAGGGGGGAGCAGTCCCCACCTGGCCTGCTGGGCTTGGCTGCCCCCAGTGCCATCCACAGCAGCCCCTACCTTCACCTCCTGAATCATCTTCGCCACATCCACCTTAGTCTTCCCTTTGATTGACTTGCCATTGACACCGGTGATCTCATCACCAGCAGCCACAGTGCCGTCCAAGGCTGCAGGGGTGTTGTCGAACACCTGTGGATGCATGTGGAGGTGGGATGGGGGGACAGGAGGACTGAGGCCCCATGTGGGGAGATGGCCTCTCCCCCGCTCAACCACCGCCTGGCTCTGTCTTCCTTTCTGCCTGCTTGCGGCACTATCAGGGCAAGGGAAAAACGTACCAGATAGAAAGGGACAACCCCACATTCTTGGGGAGAGAGGAAGGACAGGACATAAATCCGAACTGATGAGACTTCTAATAGCAAATACACCAACCACCACACCCATACAGTGTTTGCTCCTCCAGTGTCATTTCTTTAATGGGCTTCTCCAAGCTAATTCAATGCCTCTTTTCAATTCCTACACCTCATTTTGGACCCTAAAGAAAAGCCCAGGGGGGCCAGGGACTTAACAGGGAGTTCTGCTGCCTGCCTTGCAAGTGCAAGGTCCTGAGTTCGATCCCCGGTACAAAAAAACCAAAGAAACCACAACAAAAAAAACCAGGTGTATGAGTGACACAGCAAGGGGAAGGAGGCTATGTGAGTGTGCACACAGACAAAGAATACAAAACTATATCCCCAAAAAAATCAGAGGAGAGATACCAAAATTACCAGCATCAGTTCTAATACTGTATTCCCTTTATTTTATCTTCAGTTTCTAAGTTTTCTACAAAAAGCATCATACCATATACATAGTAGTACCTTGGTCCACAAGCTTAATTTGTTCCATGATTCTGGAAAAGATGGCTATGATCCTGTTTGTCACCCCATGCAGAGTTCCCAAACAAAAACAAAATTTAAAAAAGCATTTGTGAACCAAATGTGTGTGTGTATATGAAATAATTAAAATGAACATTTTGTTCTTCTACCTTCTAGAATCAGGGCAAAAACAACATAATAATGGTTGATGAAAGAAATTAAAGAAAGTGTAAGAGAATAGAAAGACATCCCATGTTCATGGATTGGAAGACTTCATATTTTTAGGATGCTAATACTTACCCAAAGCAATCTACAGATTCAGTGCAATTACTATCAAAGCCCCAATGATGTTTTTATGGAAATGGAAAAATTCTAAAAATCTAATTTCTAAAATTCATATGGAATCTTTGGGGACCTTGAATTGCCAAAAAGATTTTGAAAAAGAAGAACAAAGCTGGGAAACAAACACTTCCTGATTTGAAAACTTACTACAAAGCAACAGTAATAAAAATTGTGGTATCAACATGGAGAGAGATACAGAGACCAATGGGATACAGTAGAGAGCCCAAAAGTGAACTTTTGTGGTTATGGTCAAAGGATTATTTGATAAGGGTGCCAAGAAATTCAATGAGGGAAGAAAAGTCTTCCTAACAATAGGTGCAGGGAAAAGGATACTCACCACATACAAAGGAATGAAGGCGGACACTTACCTGAAATAATACACAGGTACAAAGCCAAAACGCATCAAAGGGCTAAACATAAGACCTAGAACTGTAAAAGTATTAGAGGAAAGCAGGGTAAAAGCTTCACCATATCGGATTTGGCAATAATGTCTTGAATATGACACCAAGCCAACAGTGAAAAAAACAGGCAAATTGGACTTCAGAAAAATTTTAAAACTTTGTGCATCAAAAGACTAGGTTGACAGAGTAAAAAGGTGCTAACAGAATGGCAAGTATTTGCAAATCACATATTTAATAAGTCACTACTATCCAGAATACATAGGGAATTCCCAATAACGAAAATCCATAGAACCCAATTAAAATATGGGCAAGGGACCTGAACAGACTTTTCTGCAAAGAAGATACACAGATGACCAGTAAGTATGTAAGACTCGAAATGTCACTAATCATTACGGAAATGCAAACACAAACTACAATGAAATGTCACCTCATATCCATTAGGATGGTCACTATTAAAAAAAGAAGCAGAAAATAGCAAAGTTGTACAGGATATACAGATATTAACACCCCGGTGCACCCTTGGTGGAAATGTAAAATGGTACAGCCACTGCGGAAAAAGTATGGCAGTTCCTCAGAAAATTAAAACAGATTTACCACATGGCCCAGCAGTTCTACTCCTAGCTAGGTACATACCCCAAAGTACTGAAAGCAGGGTCTTAGATATCTGTCATGTTCTCAGCAGCATCACTGGCAACAGCTAAAAGGTGGAAGCAACCCAACTGTCACTGAAGAAAGGAGGGATAGGCAAAATGTACATTTCTACAGTGAATTACTCAGACTTAAAAGGAAGATTTTTGACACACGCTGGACTGTGGATGAATCTTTACATTGTACTAAGTGACATCTGCTAGTAACAAAAAAACCCAAAACTGCATGACTGTTTATATGAGGTACCTAGAACAGCTAAAATCACAGAGACAGAAAGCAGAAAGGCGGTGGCCAGGGGCTGAGGGGAGGGGAGTAGGGTGCTGGTATTTGATGGGTGAGACTCAGTTTTACAAGATGAAGAGTTCAGGAGGTAGGTGGTGCTGGCTGCACGATATTATAACGTATTTAACACCAACAAATTGCACATTTCAACACAGTCAACATGAAGGAATGAAGTAGAGCACTTGCCAGCCTGTGGAAAGCCCTGGTTTGATCCCCAGCACAGGAAAAAAAAAGAGGTTAATCACAGTAAGTTTTAACACAATTAAAAAATTAAACCACAAAAGACAGAGGAGCCCACAGAGGGCAGGATGTCACCCAAGGACATGTGAAACTCTCCAGGAAGAGAAAGCACCAGCATTCCTGATGAAGCCGCCTTCTGAGGACTCACTAACCATCACAATACCTCGGGACACCAGGAGTAGAAAGTTCCCAAAAGTCTTGACAGAGACCTCAGTGTCCCCATGTGCCACCAGGGGTGACTCAGCTGGCAGGGTCAGAACAAGGTCCAAGCCAGGTCCTCCCAAGACTATGACAAGTCACTGACGGACCAGCCACGTTGAAGGAGGCCTCACAGAAGGCCTGTCCCCACTGCTGTGTTGCAGCTGACAGAGCATCACCAGGCCAGCTGCCTCAACAGTTACCATTAGCAGCACATGTGGGAAAATACACAGCTGCCCAGAAATAAGAGCAGCTGCTGCATATACTTGTTTCCCAAGCGCCCAGCAAGGAGTTATTTGAATTTGTTGAATTTTCACAAGAGGCTCACTTTCCTCTCTCAGAAGTTAAGGAACCTGCTGGTAAGCAGGGAAGCCTGCACTTGGCATTTGCACTCAGTCACTTCTTTATAGTCTTCCCTTTTCACTTGGGTGAGCACCCACGCCTGACATCTTTGTTGATTCACTAAAGACATTTTTATGGAATGTCCACTACATGCCAGGCACATACCACACTAATTACAGTGAAAAAACCTGACACTAACTACAGCAACAACAACAAAAAAACCAAACTGCAACCTGTCCTAATAAAGCCAAGAGTCTGGCAGAGCAGCCAGATGCAGAACGAGTAACAAGCAAATGATGATAGTCAGAGACACGTCCCAGGAAGGCAAAGAGCTTGCAATGCCAGAGAAAAACAAGGGCAAGGCCTACTTAGAGGGGGTAGTCTAGGGCTTTGCTGAGGGCAGAGCTTTGTCAGAGTGGAAAGATGACAGGCCTCTGTCACGCCCAAGGGAGCAGGTGACTCACTCCAGGACCCTGCCTCCAACTCCAAAGTGCGCAATACCTGGACAATATAGAGGCAGGGACAGTACTGGGCCCCTCCTCCAATGCTGATGCCGATCAGGTTCTGAGCATCCTTCTGCAGGGTCACCTTCCCAGGCATAGTGGGGATTCCACTAGAAAGAGAAGCAAGTTCAGTAAGTCTCCTGGAGGAAAGAGGATGAGAATAGGGAGCTCCAAAGTCTCCTGAACCCCAAAAGCTACACAGTCTTTTCCAGTCCTTCCTTGTCCAGAAAGATAGCAATTGTGCTGGAATACACAACACACAACTCCTGGGAGTCATGCAAATGCTATTTATTGCCTGGAACTTGGGTAAGTCACCCTCTCTATACTCTGGCTGCTTCTCCCATAAAGTGGGAACCAGCCTCCCTTATCAGAGTTCTCCTAAGAACGCCCACGGAAGGCACAGAGTCAACCCACTCCGTAGCAGGTGTACACACCCCCTTCCCTGCACTGCCTTCCAACTCTGAGATCTGCCCCAGGCTCTGTCCCTGTCCCTTCTCAGGCACATATGAGACATCACAGCCACCTCCTCTACGAAGTCATCCCCTGTTATTTAACATCCTCCTGACATCTTTCAATGATTTCATTCAATTACCTCTCAGTTTTCATTATAAATTAACATTTTTTATAGTAAAGACTCTCATGTACTAGCTTTATTCATTCAAAAAACATTTGCTAACTACCTATTGCTGTCCAGCATCTTACTAAGTGCTGAGGACACAAAAAAACAAATCCTTGCTCAAAATATATTCTAATGAGCAGGCAAACTTAAGTTTTGAAGATCTGTCCTACTAATTACCCACGCTGAGGAGGAAGGTGCCATTCATCTTTCAAAACTTGCTCCCTTGCCACCTCCTTTGAGCAGCCTTCCCTGATCACCCCTGCAGAAGTTCTGCTCCATCCACTCTGCTCTCTTTGTCACTGGATCATGCAATTAGCTCCCTTGTGGCCCTGAACGGTAAGTATCTGTTAATCTGTCCAAGGCCCCTATTGATGATGAGTTCCTGGAAAGGCAGGGTCTACTTCTGCTTCAGGACAACACCTGCTGAGAAGCAAGGATTGAGGGAAGTGAAATCCAAAGAAACAGGAACCTGAGATTCCTGAACTCCCAGATCATGGGGAGCAAAAATACTCACAGTTTATCCTCCTCGATGTCATAATCCAAGTCTGCAAACATAGTTCCGAGAGTTGGGGTGGGCTGGCTAACTGCCCAGCTCGGTGGGGGAATGGGGAACTGAATCCGGGAGAGAAAAGAGCAGAGGGTTTAGGGGACCGAAGTGACTAGGTGCCAGCCCGAGCTTCCACCACCCCCGCCGACCTGCACAGCAGGTCTCTCCTCCTCTCCCCCGGACTCGAGAAGGGGGGAGTCTCGGAGTGCGGGAGCTGGGTAGGTGATCCTTACTAGGAACAGGGGAGAGGAATTTAAGGCCAGGGTGATGGGCTCAGATGACAGAGCCTGGCCCACGGGTCACCAGGCCCTTGGGAGCTGCCGCTGCCGCTGTCGCTGACTGGAAGAGTCAGTCCCAGAGCCGGGCCCGGGCCAGGCTGGCACCTGAACGCACCTGCCGTTTCCACCTGGCGGCGGCCGCGAGGTGTTGCGTCACTTCCGGAAGAACGCGGAAGTCCCGCCTCCCCCTCCTCTGGGTATCTGCCTCAACCTTTGCCGGCCACTCTTTCCTCCCCGCTCCCAGAACTCTCAAAAACCAGGAAACAGACCAAGTATTAGTGTGAAAAAGCGGAAACAAAGAAACGTCTGGACAGGCTGAACGTGCTTAACCCCGCCCCTTGCCTTATCTCTGCCTCCATCTTGGGAAGGGCAGAGTTCTTCCCAGTTTTCTCAGCGGCGCGTTGAGGACCACGCTGGCCCCGGCGGTTGCCTTGGCAACGAAAGCGTCCTGGGGTCGGGGTTACTTCTGGCAAAATTCAGTAGACTACAAATCCTGAGGTCTTCCCTTTTACATCTTTGCCATCTGTGAAAAGCCTGTGACTGCTCTACTAGTGTGACAGTGTCATGGCTGGAAGGGCCCTTCGAGATCCCATCCCAATCCTAATTTTCCAGATGAGGAAGCTAAATGCCAGACAAGTGATTTTTGTCCAGAGCCATGTACAGTTGGTAGAAGATCCAGATCTTACCCCTGAGACTCCTGTTGGCCTAGTCCAGTGCCCTTTGAACACTGGCATTAAACTGGGAGGCAGGAGAGGTGTATTCGGGTCTGTTACTAAGGAGGAATCAGACAGATGTGTTACCTTTCCTTTATGTGCCTTGATTTCCCTATCTGAAAACTAACAGCATTGAAAAACTAACAGCTTTGTTTTGATTTGGTTTGATTTTGGGTTTTTTGAGACAGGGTCTAAGTAGTCCAGGCTGACCTTGAACTCACTGTGTAGTTCAAGGTGATCCTCCTTCCTCAGCCTCCCAAATTCTGGGATTACAGTTGTGTGCCACCACGCCCAGATAATAAGTACTTTCTGTGGTATCTGATGAAAGATTCCTCACCTTCCCACCTCCTTTCTGAGTCCTGAGGACCCTAGGGTCCCAATGAGGGCCCAGCCCCCATGTCCCTGAGATTCAGCAAACACTATCAATGCTTCCCAGCTAAGGAGTCTGAATCTCCTCTTCCATCAACCCCTGCTGCCACTTCTGTGTGAAATGGGCCCTGGAGGAAGTTGGCAGCCACTTCCTCCAGGTAGCATGTGGCCAGGCTCATCTAGGGTCCTTCTACAGCTGCCCCGGGGGCCATGGAGGGAGAAGAGGTGCAGACAGATGATTATCCACACATTCCAAGGCCTGCCGGAAGCCCTCCCTCAAGTCTCGGAAGATGTGCAGAAGGCCACCATAGCGATGACCTTCTGAGTGGCCCCCTGCTTGGCAGTTCAGGTCACTTTCATAGGTCACTTTCAGGTTCACCCTTGTGAGAGGAGAATGAGATTGTCAACCACACCATGCAGGTAGGGAAACTGAGGCTTAGAGAATCAGCTTCCCCTTTATTACACACGGTCAGTAGCTGGGCTTGGAAACACCATTCCTCTCAACAGGGATTTGTGAAAAGAGTAAACAGAGAAACAGGTGTGCGTGCACTATGAACAAGTCACATGGCACAAATGTCTCTAGGGCTTCCTTCCTGTCCCTTCCCGGTTGAGGGCAAGGAGCCTATGCCCCCTTTTCTGCCTTGCCCCTCATCATCCAGGCTCAGCCATAATCCCCCTCTTCCAGGCAACCTTCCCAGACAATCCAGCACACAAACCACGTTCCTTTTTCTACTCCTGAAACACTTGTTATTTGCACCAATCCTTCAGCAATTTGTCATGTATTGCCTTTTGACATCTCTTCATGGCTCCCTGGAGCCATCTGCGGAAATTAACTTACTGTATGCTTATATTTTGTCAAGGAATTTTTTTTTCACCCTTAAGATTGGGATTTACCAAGCTGGGCATGGTGGTGCATGCTTGTAATTCTAGCACTTGGGAGGCTGAGGCAGGAGGATTGCTGTGAGTTTGAGGCCAGCCTGGGCTACATAGTTCAAGGCCAGTCTGAACTACATAGTGAGACCCTGACTCAAAAAAAAATGGGGGCTTACCACCCTTAAGATTGGGGAAGCTGATTCTCTAAGCCTCAGTTTCCCTACCTGCGTGGTGGGAACATTCAATTACCCTTTGTGACATCAACAATACTAGACCACATTCCTAGAGAACTTAGTTGTTAGGCTAATTACATTGCATCCTCCCCTCCCAATTTTGTTTTTCCCCATTAACTTTATTGGTACATTTTAGGTATAAAATACAGTTGCATTCATCATTGGGATCTCCCCTCCCAAATTCACCAAGGTGGTCAGATCTTGAGACTGAGGCAAAGACTGGAGCTTATCTTGTTTTGTTTTAATTCTTAAGTTCTTTTATTGGTACATTTTAGGTATACATTTACATTTGTCATTGGGTGCTTGTACCTGTACATGATGTATCTTGGTTCTTTTTTT